GTGGGTTCTAGTCACAGGCACCAGCTGCTTTTGATATGACCTCGGGGAGCTTTCACACACAACCAAGCATGGCTGGGAGAGACAGGTTGCTGGACTTGTGTGGAGGAGGGGTCCGGAACTTTGTGTGCAGATCTGTGTTTGAGGATCCAGTTCCAGTGAGGGATGTGTCCCCTGAGCCGTAACATAACACCCCATGTGGAGCAGGCCCCAGGGCACCTGGAACCAACCCCAAACCCTCACCATCAACCACTAGGAACCCGTGGACGGTGCTCAGAACAGCCACATTTCCCTACAAAGTGATCATAAAAACCATATGAGGCCCTGACCCTGCAGTGATGAGTGTATGCATGTGTGTGTATGTGTACATGTCTGTTAGAATATTTGCAGTTTGTCCAAAAATTTGATTGGCATTAGCTATCTTTTGTGAAGTGTTCAGTTTGCCATTGTGGAAAAAGGACAATGAGCGTGTTCATTATTGGAGAACCCACTAAACAAATGGTCAAGGGACAGTGGAGAGGGGGATAGAGCTGTGTTTTGATTATTCAACTGCCACAAGCCAGAGGGGACAGGAGGATATTTCCCAACATTATCATTTCCCGTTCCAAAATAAACTTTGAGTTGGGTTAAAAGATGGAACAATATCTTTTAGCTATGGAACAATATCTGCTAGCTAGCATCACTCACTTGAAAAATGATCCCAAAATCTACTCATGAGGGAGCTCTGGAGCACCTAAGGTTCACTGGAGTATCCCAATAGCTAGATTCCAAAGCCCTTGGAGTTTTCAAAGTACTAGAATGAACATAAAGAAGAACTAACCCAATCACCTCTTTCCACAGGTGAGGAATCTGAGGCCCGGAGCAAGGACCTATGCCAGCTCGCAGCAACACTGAGGGGCGACCCGGTCTCCTGTCTTCAGGCAGGTCCTGTCTCCACGGGGCCAGGCGAGGTTCCAAGCTGTGGTTGTAAAGGGTCATCCACGAAGTGATGCTCACTGCTTTCAGTCTCCAGCTGCTGCAGGCTCCCTTCAGCAATGTATTTCATACTCAGTCTCCTCTTCTCTCTCTCAGTCAGCTTAGGCTGCCATAATCAAATATCATAGATGAGGTGGCTCAAACGACAGAAGTTTGTTTTTTCACAGTTGTGGAGGCTAGACCTCCAAGATCAAGGATCATCAGGGTCAGCGTCTGGTGCGAGTTCTCTTCTTGGGTTGCAGGTGGCCACCTGTGCACATGGCCTTTCCTCTACGCATGTACAGAGCGAGAGCGAGAGAGAGAGAGAGAGAGAGGTCTCTCTTGTCCCTCTTATTATAAACCCACCAAATCTATAGGATTTTTAACCTCATTTAATTTTAATTACCTCTTAAAGCTTTATTTCCAAATATAATCACATTGGAGTTAGGATTTCAACATATGAACTTGGGGAAAAGGGACACAATTCAGTCCACAGCACTTTCCCAACCCACTACTTAAGAATCTGGTTTTATAACCCTTGAACTCCAACTAGGCATTTGAAAATTATCCAATTGTATTAAGACCAGCATTTATTGTTTTCAAATATAGCAAGAGCAGGACAATTGCCACATTTATTCTTCCAGAGAAGGCAAAGTATCCAATTAACTCAACACATCCGACCCTAATTTACCATGTCTAAGTAAAGTGAGTCTTGAGCATCTGTTTTGTGTGAAGAAGGAAAACAAACAATTCAGTATACCACTTCTTAATTTTAATAATGTCTAGATACAATACAGCAACTATTGTATGTATTGATGTACTATAAAATTTGTTCAAGTGAGACTCACCCCACATTGTTTTCGCTGGCTACCAGCTGCCAACTAAATACAGACCAATCAGTGAGCTGAGTGTCTGACAGCAAAGAAGCCCAGCAACCTCATTACCCATAAGGTTAATTTCATCAGTTACTTTTGCTAAGTGCCTATGAGTCACTCCCAAAATTTAAAACCCAAACACAAGCCAATGACCAGTCTAAAGCTAAGTCATCATAGCAGAAAGAAATATGTTTTAGGAATCTCAGTATTTAAATCCAATTGACTCTAGTTTTGAGTCCTTTTCCCTGCTTGGACATACTTTTCCTTTTTGTAGTCATATGGATACTCACACTGTAATGAATAAAGTAGAGACCTTTGAAAATGAAAAAAAAATTTAAATTAAAAACATCTAAAATATAAAGCACAAACACAAAACATGAGTGGAAGTATTTCCCAAGTGTGTGGAATTTCTCATGCCTCTCTATGCCAGCCAGATCCCAACCATGGTCACCTACCTGCGAAACACCTCTGTCTACTGGCCACCAGGCTCATTTTGTGAGACGTAAGCTTAGAAACCTCAAAAACGAGAACCATAAGATGTGCTCTCTTTTTCCTGTTTACAAGTCCAGTGTAGCTGCATGCATTAGTGAGCTGTAGGAAGACTCCTCCAACCCAGCAACTGGAATGTGTTTTCATGTTAGAAACTCTGATAAAGAAAGAGAAATAGCCCTGGCCAGTTTGGCTCAGCGGTTAAAGCGTCGGCCTGCAGTCCGGAGAGACCTGGGTTCGGTTCCTGCTAAGGGCACGTACTTCGGTTGCAGTTTGTCCCCGGCCCTGGTTGGTTGTGCGGGTGGCAGCCACTCAATGTGTCCCTTCACGTCGATGTTTCTCTCTCTCTCTCTCTCCCTCCCACTCTATCTGTACAAAAAATGGAAAAATATCCTCGGGTGAGGATAAAAAAAAAAAAAGAAAGAAAGAAAGAGAAATAAAAGACAAAGCTTAACTGTAATGTGGAAAACAATCTGTTCTGCAGCGGGTGTTATTCGGAGATGGGAAACCTTTGTCAGAGGTGTGGGGTTCTGCAACCTGCCCAGCTGGGAGCACCTGAGTCCCACAGGGTCCCAAGGGATTGAGCCGATTCCTCCTTTTCATCATCCCTCCAGGAGAACTTTTCCCACAATCTATGGATTCTGACAAATGATGGAAATACATACATTCTTCTCAGGGGCCTCAAGGAAAACACAACGTGAGCATAATTTCAATTGTTTGAGAAGCCAAAAATAAAAATAAATTTGGGTGTGCCGCCCAGCATTTTGGTAATGGCCCTCTTACCTAGTATCTGTGGAACCCAAGGCCTATCTTAACCTTTAAGCAATTAAATGGTGATGCACACAGTAGGGCTCCAGACCCAGGTGTAGGTAACTAGGATTAGCAGTACAGGCATGTGTTCACTATAGGAACATAACAGTATTTATTGGTTAATAACCATCCTAATGGCTATTTTACAAACTTAAATTAGAATATAATATTTGGAGTTGTATCCTGAAAGAAAGCCTTTCACCAAAATAAATTGCAGATTTAAGATGAAACAATAAAAGGACTGAAAGAAAAAGTGGACAGGTATTAAGTGATCTAAGGATAGTGTAGTCCTTCTAAGAATGATCCCAATGGTAGAAATTACAACAGCAATAAATCTGACTGCCTAAAAACTGAAAGCAAGCAAACAAATAAAAGAAGAGGAAAAAAATTGTAACAGCCACAAACATCACTAACATCAAAAGGTACATCAACAAAACTGAAAGTCTACAACAAACAGAGAATTGACAAAAATATTGACAACATAGAAAATATAGCAAGGTGAGTATATTTAATGTACACAAAGCAATTAAAAATTCCTAAAAATCCTGGTGTGGTTCTGTCCTGCACAACTGTTCCCTAGAACAGCAGTCGTTTGCCTCCGTCCACCTTATCTCCCATCCATGTGTGTGCCAGCACCCCTGGACCCTTCAAGGGAGAGAGACATAGCCTCCTGAGGTCTCAGAACAATCTTCCAGTTGTGAACTAAAGGCTGACAAAGAGGGTCATTTTAAGGTGGATAATGATGAAAATGAGCACCTTATCTTTAAGACTGGTAAGCTTAAGGACTGTGAAGAGGGTGAATTGCAGACTTTGAAGCAGAGGCAATGAATTATGAAGACAGGCCAATTAAAGGAAGGCTGGCAACTTTGAACATATCTGTGCAACCAATGGTTTCCTCAGGGACTTTGAAATAACACCACCTGTGGCTTATGGTTGAAGGGTGGTTCAGGGCCTGTAAAGATTAATGGATAGCACTTAGTCAGAGGAAGATGCAGAGTCAGAGGTTGAAGAGAAGAAGTGAAACTCCTAAGTATGTCTGGAAAGCTTCCACGGAAAAAGTCAAACTCGATGCTGCTGCTGCTGATGATGATGATAATAATGATTATGGTGATGATAGTGATGGTGATGGTAATGATGGTGAAGAAGAAGAAGATGATGATGATGATGATGATGGTAATGATGATGGTGATGATGATGGTGATGATGATGGTGATGGTGATGATGATGATGGTGATGGTGATGATGATGATGGTGATGATGGTGATGATAATGATGGAATGGTGAAGAAGGAGGAGGAGGAGGAGGAGGAGGGGGAAAAGAATAAGGAAGAGGAGGAGAAAAATAAAAGCTCCAGTAAAGGAATCTATATGAGATACTCAAGACAAAATGAACAAAAGTCAAACCAGAATTGAAAAGATTAAAAATCATCAACACTGCCCTAGCCAGTTGTGTCCAGTGGTTAGAGTGTCGGTCCACAGACTGAAGGGTCCCAGGCTCGATTCCTGGCCAAGGGCACATACCTGGGTTTCGGGTTCAATTCCTTAGCAGCCAATCTCTCTCTCTCTCTCTCTCTCTCTCTCTCTATCTATCTATCTCTCTCTCTCTATCTCTATCTCTATCCCCTCCCCCTTACTTCCTCCCCCTCAATCTAAAATCAATGTAAAAGTATCCTCGGGTGAGGATTAACAAAAAATAAAAATCATTAACACTAACATCAAAAGTTAATAATCCTTCAAGAGAAAAACTAAAGCGCCAAAAGGACCTAATTCTGTAGAAGACATTAAAGCAGAAACACAGCAAAGTGGAAGCAAAGTTCACCAATGATATGAAGACTTGCTTCCAGGTAGCTGGCCACGTGGCTCTTGAAGATCTCTGGCAGTGGAACAAGTCTCTTTGAAGAAAATAGAGTGAACAGTTTGTTAACAATGTCTATCTTAGTTCATTTCTGCAGCAGTTGATATCTGCCTGTCCATTTTATAATGTGGAGTGAGAACATCCCCTACCTTGTCTGGTAAATGCTGTCCAGGTTCCGCTGCTAAGAATGTGCTGTCCAAATTGCCTGTTTAGCTTCAGAGATGGAACTCCACCCTTTGCTTGGGTTAAGTATGTATGGAATATTATGGTAAGACATAGTAGCAGCAGTGCTCAAAAGGAAATGATGAGGGGACAAAACTATACATGTGAAGTAAACTCTGTATTTTAATAAAGCTTTAAAAAAATCAATGAGAAAAATATGAACATCCCAATAGAAAAATATCAAAGAACGTGATCCTAAAGTTATAAACACTAAAACCCAAATATTTGTTTTTTTATCAAAATATAATGTCCTTAATAGTCAAAGAAATAAAAAATATAAGTGTACATAATTTTTATTTATCAAACTGATAATTTAAAAATAAGTAATGGAACTCACTTTTGAAAGGATATTGGAGAGCCCCATAAACTTGATAATTGATACAGTATTTTTCTGGGTTGTTAATTTGTCAATAGAAATAAAAAGTCCTAAAATTTACATTTCATTTGGCACTGGAATTCCAAATATAACCTGAGAAATAATTGTAGATACGCACAAAAATAAAGTTATAACATTCATGACAAGGTTATTTATAACAAGGTAATAATAATATTGGGTAAATTAACAAAAGGACATCTGTACAATAGAATACTAAGCAGTGATTTGAAATTACATTGGAAAGGTGTTCATGGATTAATTTTTAAGGTAGGTTACTAAATAGTGTGATCCTATATTTTATAAACATTTAATATATATGTATAAATATATAAATGATATATACTCGTACATAGAAGAAGACTAAAAGGATATAAACTAAAATGTCAGTGGTGAGTATCTATAATGAGATCATGGATGATATTTAGTTTATTCTGTTTGTTTTTCCTTAGTTTCTAAATTTTCTTCAGATAACATGTAATTTTTGATAATAATACAACATGTTGTGCTTTTTTAAATAGAATTTTACAAGCTTAAAGGAAAAACCAACAGTCAGACAAACTTGTTTCTCCCACCAAACGAAATGGCTTTCATTTGCTCTTTCCAAAGATCATGCTGCCTCTTTCTCCCCTGATCTGTGTCCAACTCTGAAATAATTTCCTTCACATCATGAAAAAATTATCCGAAACCCCAAGCTCACTCATTCAATTAACTCCCTACCTCTTCCTTACTCAATATTCAATTAACATTGAATCACTTTAAGTCTTGCTATTTTAAAACCTACTCTGACTAATCTGTTTTTTGAAACAGCCAGCTCTTCCTTTTACTTCTGAGCCTTCCAGCATCTGAGGACCAGAGGATGTTTGTAAACAAGGCCCTCCATCGCTCTCCACGGCCACACGTCACCTAGCCTCCAGTGTCCCTTCTCCAAGGTCCAACAGGGGTGTAGAGAGGATGTTTGTAAACAAGGCCCTCCATCGCTCTCCACAGCCACACGTCACCTAGCCTCCAGTGTCCCTTCTCCAAGGTCCAACAGGGGTGTAAAGCAACATGGAACAACTGAGAAGCTTCCAAGAAAAGTCGAATATGGCCTGGTATGACATGAAAATGCCTGATACAGGTCAAGGTGAAAATCTTATTAAAGATGAGTTGCCCACATAGTTGTATAGGACGCACCCTGCCCCCAGGGCTGTGCTGCATGGGGCGTGGTCCCTGTCTGCAGTCAGCAACTTGTGTGAGTGTGGACAAGCGGTTTAATCATTCTGGGCATCAGCTACATCATTTCTAAACCCATGGCATCATTTCTAAGGTGACATCTAACCTGATGAAAGCTCATGTCCTTTTCAATTATGTTACTCCAACAGCTTTTTTAACTCTGTTACCAGTCAGTCCCTCTTAAAGTAGCTCACAGCCAGGTATCTCTACAAATACATTTCACTGCTGTGCATACTGAAGGTATTTAGCTTATCTCACACACTGTTTCAATATTCTGTACATCTTATGATAATAAATTCCTTTGGTCATTTTTCTCTGGTTGCTCCATCCTTCAGCTTCTCCTCTATCCCATCCATCTTCCCATATTGATTCAGGCTGATATGAGTCACTTATTTATCTCTGCAGACTAGAGATCAGCCTTTTATTTTTTTTAACCTGAGGGAAGTTAGTCATTTGAAATGCTTTGATCTTTTACAAACTGTTATATACATTGTTATTTCAAGGTAAAAAGAAGAGCCCTGGCCTGTTTGCTCAGCGGTTAGGGCGTCGGCCCGCAGACTGGAGAGTCCCAGGTTTGGTTCCCGCTAAGGGCACGTACCTCGGTTGCAGTTTGTCCCCGGCCCCAGTTGGGGTCGTGTGGGTGGCAGCCACTCGATGTGTCTCTCTCACAACGATGTTTCTCTCTCTCTCTTCCTCCTTCTCTCCCTCCTGCTCTATCTGAAGATACATGCAAAAATGTCCTTGGGTGAGGATAAAAAAAGAAGAAAGAGGAAGAGGAGGAAGAAGTCCAAAAACAGAGCTATCACCTAGGTGGCCCAAGAATGGGACTGACCTCCTGTAAAGTTTGCAAACTGAAACAAAGATCATCTCCTTGACTCCTTGATCAAAACAAGCGAGACTGATACTAACCCTGAGTGCTGGTGAGGGTGTGGATCACTCGGGCGTCACTGCTGGGGGTGTGCAATGGCACAGCCAGTCTGGAAGAGTGGGGCGGTTTCTCATGAAACTGAACACACCACACGGCTGAACGATTCTACTTGGGGGCACTTATGCCAGACACATGGTAACTTACATTCACACAATGACCTGTACAGGGATGTTCGTAGTGGCTTTATTCACAAGGCTCCAAAACAGAAACCAACTGAAATGCCCTTCAGTGGGTGAATGGTTAAAGAAACTGGGATACATCCAAACCATGAAATACCACTCTGTAATAAAAAGGAACAAACTATTGACACATGCAACAACTTGGATGGCTTTGCAGGAAGATATGCACGATAAAAAAAAAAAAAATCTCAAAAGGTTACACTTGCATGATTTCATTTACACCACATTCTCGAAATGACAACATTATAGAGAGGAACAAGCGCTGAATGGTTGCCAGGATTGGGGGTGGGGAGGCAGTGGCTGTGGCTAGAAAGGGTAGCACAAGGGATCGTTCCAAAAGAACTGTCTTATATCTTCAAAGTGGTGGTGGTCACACAAATCTACACAGGTGATAAAATTACATCAAACTAAATACACACAAATTAATGCATATAAAACTGGTGAAATCCAAATAAGGTCACTGAATTGTGTCAATAGCATCAATATCAATTTCCTGGTTTTGATACTGTACTGTAATTATGCAAGATAGAGAGAGAGGTATTAATGCTAACTGCACATATATGGACAACAAAGAGCTAGAGTCAACTTACAGTACTGAATTCTTCCTGTAAAGCTTTCTTATCAAGTAGAAATGCAAATCTCTCCTAGAGTCCACATTCTTTGAAATTTTAAATTATTCCTAACTTTAGGTGTTCTATTTTGTGGTGGTTGTCATGGTGATGTTTAAAGAGAAGAACTATAAAGTGCTATACAAAGATCCTATTTTCTCAAGTAGCTGGAATAGCATTTCCTTTGGTTCCCCACCCACAAGACTTGGCCAACCTCAGAGGTCCCTTGCACACGGAAAAGGCCAGGGAGTCGACACTTCAGGAACAACCATCAAGCAATAAGGACAAGAGTTGGTGGATAACACTGACTCCCTCCCCAGCAGTGGGATGAACCTGAGGCATAATCTACACCATCTCCCAAAGGATCCCCGGCAGGACTGGACTCAGTTGCTCACAGCAATAATCTGCTCATGATCACACCTTTGATTGGCTCTTGCTTATTTCCTGTCTCACTATTCTCTCTCCCTCATTCCATCACCCAAACCAACCCCTTGGACTCAACTCCTTGTCTCAGGATCTGCTCCTGGAAGGACTCACTCACACTGAGGACACCTGGCTGCAGGTCCCAGGGCCTGATCTCTAATTAAGATTCTACTTTCCCTAATCAATACCGAACTCAAAAAGAGACTGCCACAAACTTTATGGGGATTTAGCAACATACAATATGTTTATTTAAGATGGATGACAATGCCCTCGGGTAAAGACGGTCTTGGACATTTCTGAAGCTTCTCTCCTGTTTGCCTGATAACAAATATGGGCATTGGCCATCAAGCTGTTTAACAATGAGCTGGAAAGCCTTTTCACACAGGGCCACATGCAGAAGCAAATCCTCATTCGGTGCACACGTCTGTAGAAAGCTTAATACTCGTCTCTGGATTCGAGAAGGTCACTCAGACCCACAAACCCAGTAGCCCCATCAAAAAGGCTGAGGTGTCAGTCAGTTTCCAGAGTCCACCTAAGTAACTTAAGAAAGTCAACCTGAAGCCAACTTTGGTCTATGAAATGAAGAAAGTGAAAGGATTCTTTGAGATCCTGAAAATCATGTAAAATATAACCCACCTAGACCAATAACCAGCTATAGTCCTGTTAATTAGTATCTTGGATCACTGTTCTCTGAATCTTGGCTGGTATTAAGGCTGCCCCACACTGGTACCATTTTCAATTGTTCTGCTATAAATATGTTTATGTCTGTGTGTGGCTAATTAAATAGGCAAATATCTAAATATACTTTCAAAGACTTGGAGATAGAGTCGCTGAAAATAGACTAGGAGTCTGAATATTTGGAATCCATCTCTGCCTATCCTGGGGAGTAAGGAAATGTTTAGGGCACATCCCTAGGACTGCCTGGATCTGTTTACTTATGAGCAAAATGAAGGGTTTGAATTAGATGAGAAAGAAAAAAAAACAAGTTCTGCTGCAGCCTGACAGGTCTGTGATTCTAGACAGTGTTTTTGTTTAGCAGAAATGGGATCCACTGACAGTATTACTATCCATGCACTGATTCCATTGACATTTACCAAGCATATTCTATGTAGCAAGCACTGTGTGACAGACACCACAATGTCACCATGCAAGAAGAGTTAGGCCTGCCCCAGCCTCTGACAAGTTCATATTCTCACCTCCACGTTCCCTCCATGTTGGCTTCATCTGTTCCACATTCCATGTCCCAGGACCCAATGTTACCCAAGCTAAGGTCATGAGCTGGTCCCCAGGCACTCCAAGATAGATACAGCTTCTGTCTATATGTTCATGGTGGCAGGCAACAGGAGATGGCTGTCACCAGGAATTGCCCACCCACCAAGATGACACAAAATAGCAACTTGCCCCAATAGGAGATCAGGGCACTCAAAGGAAGAGGGGATGTGGATGCTAGATGACAAATGTCCTCCACATCTGCCTCCCTGACTTTCTGACACACAGTGCAGAGGAGTACGTGCAGTGGGGGAGAAGAGAGGAGCCACAACCTCATCCAGGCCTCTAGTGATTCTGGCTTAGGCAGAGGGAAGTCGAGTCCTGGGGTCTTTCCAGTAGCAGACAGATTGGTTTCTACTTTGCTCTTCATGATATTCTCACGTGAGACTTAGCTGTGAAGACGCTACTCAAAAACCTGGAAGTGTACATCGGGATCACTTTTCTGGCCCTGACTGTCAGTGTATTGTCACCACCACATCCTCAAAGAGACCAGCAGAGAAAATGCTCAGGGTGATAGTCAGGATAAGGGCCCCATTCAGTGCCCAGGGCATGGGATGCATGAGGAGCTCCCGGTGGTTTGTGGATGAACACCACTGGCTGTGCCGGCCCAGCTCGGCAGTGGGTTCGGCCTCCTGGGACCCGATGGCATCAGGCTGCCATAGATCCACACACTTCGCATTGCAGTCCTGTCTCTACCACTGCCCTTTGTGCCATCTCCTTTCTCACTAACTAAATAACCAGTGTAATTGGAAGGCCAACATAAAAGAACCTTTGGCGTTGCTCAACCCTCAAGCAATTAAACCTAAAATTGGTACAGAAATGCAAAAGACTTAGAATAACCAAAAGGAGTTTGAAAAATATGTCAAAAATGATGAAATTGTAATTTCTAAATCTGTAGTTTATTTTATTTTAATTATATCTCTATAGAACTTTTTTTAATGAGGAAAAACACCATCTGGATATCATGAACAACCCAGATATAGGCCTGCGCAAAGACTGGGCTATGATAGCATTATCACTGTGTCCCTCCCGAACTCACCCACCCACAGGGGTAAGCACTCTCCTGTGTGTGGTGGTTCTCACTCCATTTTTATTTTTAAAAATATATTTACTATATATGTAGCTTAATTCTGTCCACTTTTTACCTTTGTATAAAGAAAGTCAAACTCAACACATTCTTCTCTGTTTTACTTTTCTTGTTCTACTATGTTAGTACCATTGATGTATGTTGATGTGTACAGTAGCAGTACATTTATTTTCACTGCTGTATAGTATTCCAAAATGTTTTTATTCATTTTGGTCTTGACAGATTGTTTCCAGTGTTTCACTATTTCAAACAGCACTGTCACGAGTGCATGCACGAGAATTTATCCTGGTGCCTACGCAGTTATGCACTTCCCAGTCGGCGCATACATGCATCTTCCTCTTTATCAAATAGTATGAAACTATGTTCCAAGTACTTGTTTCAGTCGACCTTCTCACCAGGAGTGTACCCAAGGCCGGGTTGCTTTATACGTCCACACTTAACCTATACAAGCTTGCTAAATATTACCAAGCTGAGAATCACAAGTTGGTCTTTAATTTGCATTTCCAAAGATTATCTCTTTGCATATCAGTTCTCCCCCCCAGATGTTCGCCCTGAGAGGCAGGAAGCATGCATAATTTAGCTTGGTGGTTCTAGCAGGTAGCAGAGCAGCAAGCACACAGGGCCATTCAAGTTGAGGGAATGAATAAATGATGCTAGTTCACAGGCTTCCCGATCCACGGGCTCAAAGGGGAACAAAATAAGAAGCCAGGGTGAGGACGAGAAAAGGCAGCAGACAATTGGTTGATCTCACCACTTGCCAAGTCAGACCTCACAGACCAGGGTGGGAGAGGACACACACAGGGGAGCAGAAGCACAGATCTGGGAGGAAAGAATCCTGCCTGGTTTCATTTTTTTTGGCATTAAATCCTCTGTCCCGTTCACTGGGACCTCATGTTAGAACAGTAAGTGGGATGAAGAGTGGAGAAGGAAATGATGCTACCTTATCATCTCTCCCTGCTTCACGGAGTGATTTGCACCCAGGACCAAGAATAAGGATTGCAGCGTCCTCTGCCACCTTGACCAACTTCCTCATCTCAGGGAAATTTATTTGCTTTCTGCCTCCATTGCTCAGACAGATGGGCCCCTTCCGGAGGTGGGGGGAATGCTGAGTAAGTCTACTGGGAGCCTGAACTCAGCCCTCAGCGAGGCTGGAGCTGCACAAAGCCTGTGGCACCCACTGCGCTGCAGGGTTAGACTCCGCCACCCTCCTGCTTCCCCTTCGTCCTCCCCAGCCACCGAGTCCGCCTCAGCCACCCAGGGCGCATTCCTGGCAGCTGCCTCTTTGCAGAAATCTGCACCAAAATTAAACCCATCAAACTGTCAGCCCCGATGTGGGGCTGCTCCCATGTCAGCCCATGTCATGACAACTGATGATAGAAATGCTGCTATTCAGGCTGATGGGGAACGTCTGTTCCCTTTTATAAATCACTTTAAAAAGAAGCCAGAGCAAGGTG